TTCGTCCACTGTGACTGCGGTCACATTTGTGTATTAAAAAAGGAACAACGTTTGACAGCTTTGAAAAAAATCTCAACTACAGACAGCAACCATGTCCCATTGTGAAGATTGGATTGAATTGAATCTCATCTTATTCCATTCAAAATGACAGTTCACATGATTTTTGTTCATCATGTAACTGCTTCCCATCCTAAGGAAGCCTGTGAAGGACACATGAATGAGTTGGTAGAACAAGTGGTGGTTGAAATCAGACTGCTGTCTTCGTGCGCTTTCCCTTTGAAAGTCTTTTGTATTTTTTTGGTTTCATGGTAGCATAGAAACATTTGAAATGCAGTACTCTTACGGTGTGAATCCACACTTCTGTACACGTGTATTGTTTTGATTGTGTGCAGGCATGCAGATGGTACCGTCAAATTCTGGGATTCCTCTCAAGGTGAGGACGTTTTCTGTTTGTTCACCCTGACGTCCCTCCTTTACCACACAGTTCAAGGAAATAAAAACTACACCTCCGGGTTTATGTTCATGTCTGCAGGCTTAAATTTGCCTCTTGTCCTGGTCATTTGTTTTCCAAACACAGCTCCATCTTTGTTTTCAGCTTTTGCTGATAGGCAGGTCCTGTACATTGGAAGTTCCCACTCAACATGAGTCAGTGTTTTGGCCTGGAAAGTGAAATTACGCATCAAGAGATGGGGTTTTTTTGGTATTATCTGAAAACTGACAGCTCTGGCAATGGCATCTGGGTCTGAAATCTAGCCCACGTCAGAGATGTGTTGTGCAGCTAGAATCATTGTCAGTCTGAAGAATACATTATGTGAAATTCATCAAAACAAGTCAGTGTACCAGACGTCAAAGTTGAACCTCCTAAGGAAGTGGAATTTCCGAATGACATCTCACATGATTTGTCTCTCCTTTTCTCTGGGTAGTCATGCTCCAAGTTCTCTACAAGCTCAAGACGGCTAAGGTCTTCGAGAAGCAGAAACAGGCAAGGAGCCTGGACGGCGATGAGGAGCCCTTTGCTATCCAGATGGTCAAGCTGTGCCAGGAGAGCCGGCTGCTAGCTGTGGCCGGGGCCAGCGGCCATGTCATACTGTACCGGTTCAGCAGGCTGGAGGTCACCACTGAGTTGACGGTGAGCCGCTCGTGAGCTGTGCAAAGTCAAAGAGGCGTGAACCCAATTCTGTAAAGTTCCTTGGGTGAAAAAATGTTACTGTGCTAAAATCAGCCGTGCACCAGTCACTACCAATATGCACACCAAGGCTTCCTGGCTGGCAACCAGGTTTTGCCAAGCAAAAATTTTCTGCACTTTACAATTTTCCGAGCTTGGCAGCTCTGTGAAAGTGGTCTGTGAGTAATCCTAGTTTCTCTTGAAATTGAAGCCAGTGATAGTTTGCTGATATGAGAAAAAACTATTTGAGACAGAGACACTTGTAAAAATAAGTGAGTACTTAAGAAGCAGTTGTTAATACGTGTGAAGTACTTTGTGTGGAGTACTTTATGCGTAGTACTTAATGTGTAGTACTTAATGTGTAGTACTTCATGTGTAGTACTTGACTGCAAGCCCAATGTAAGACCTGTATAATGGAATATTAATTGAGGTTACTTCTCAGTCTCGTCCCTGCGACTAGCGTAACCACAGGGCATTGAAAGTTTTTCTCTGCATTTACAATGCTTATAGGTCCTGGAAATTGCCATCGTCTACGAGCCCGAAGAACCAGACACCCCCGAGGCTGAGACCCCACCCCCTCCCCCGCCCACCCCACTCAAGCGCAACACCAGCACTATCAGCGCAAGTTCCATCGCCAGCGCAGTCAGCAGCCAGCAGGCGGCTCCAACCAGCCAGGCTGCGGGGGCATCGGGTGGAGCCACGGCAGCGGCGGGGGGCGGTGGGTCAGGGGGCACCGGTGCCCAGGCCACCAGCACCAGTTCCGGGGAGGGAATCCGGGACAACGTGCCGAACTTGAAGGTAGGCTTAGCTAAAGGTGGGGAGCACAGAATCGGAAGAAAAGGCACAGATTAAAAAACATGTTTTACAACGGCAAACAGTTTCGATCAATTGACACAGTCCACTACATTTAAGCTTATTACAGCTACAAGCCAAGTTTATTTACAAGATTATCATCAAACTTGTCAAAATAAATGTGCTAAAAAGTTTTCTGCATTATCATAAGTGAACAAGTAGTGTTCACAAAACACACAATTTTGTTCAAATGTTGTTGACTTGAAATGAATCTTATGATTCATTTATGGAAGTCGGCCTATTTCTGTCATTTTACGTCATGAGCTGAATTGCACTGTGATTTACTGTCAATAAACTCATATTGAAATGAACACAATTCCATGAAATATGTAAAATGACACATAGTGAAATTGATTTGGGGTTTCCAATCCTTGTTTAGGTCAAAGGAGGACCTCACAAGCGAGCCGCTGGTTTCCAGCCAGATCTTTGCTGTCAGCTGGTCTGGGTGGATGGAGAGGCACCATCTACTATTACTACAGTGGAGATCAACTCTTGCTATGGCCTGTAAGTGATGTGGCTGACTGGGTGGATGGCAGGGTTGCTTGGTGGATGGTTGGCTGGGTTACCCAGTGGATCTGTGGATTGATTGCCTGATGGGTAGTTTGTTGCTTGTGGATGGGCTGCCCGGTGGGTGGGTGGATTGTTTGCCTGATGGGTAGTTTGTTGTTTGTGGATGGGTGGATGGGCTGCCCAGTGGGTGGGTGGATTGATTGCCTGATGGGTAGTTTGTTGTTTGTGGATGGGTGGATGGGCTGCCCAGTGGGTGGGTGGATTGATTGCCTGATGGGTAGTTTTTTGTTTGTGGATGGGTGGATGGGCTGCCCAGTGGGTGGGTGGATTGATTACTTAATGGGTAGTTGGTTGCTTGTGGATGGGTGGCCGAGTTAATTGATGGGTGGCTGGGTTTGTGTATGGGTGGCTTTGCTGCTTCCTGGATGGGTCACTGATTGGGTGGCGGGCTGGCATGAAAGTTGGTAGGCTTGCAGGCTTGCTGGGGTTTTACTGGCTAGCGAGATACTTTGGGGCACTGGTGACCGGCAGTCACAGAGTAAGTATTTTGCTTGCATGTGTAGTCTAGGATAGCAGAGAGGCTGAGATTGCTGCTGGTCAGTTCCTTAGTAGCTCCACAGAGCTGGGTGTGTGTGTACGTATAATTTGGACGGATGGCGAAGTTGCTGGTTAGATATGGCACAGTGGGCGGTAGGTCAGGCAGGGATGGATTGGTGCACAGTGTTGGCTGTACAGATGTCAAGATTGGTCATGCACTGCCGAGTAATTAATGGGTTGGATGATTGGCTGCCTTTTCTGCTCTCCAGCTGGTTGGTTCTCTTTGTGGATGACCCTTTTAAAAAAATCCCCTTTCCATCTCCTGCCGATGACTTGCAGCCTCGCGTTTGGCACCACGACGGGCCTGGTCATCGTCGACTTCCTCCAGAAGACCTGCCTCCTGAACATGGGCACCCCGGACCTGTACGGCTCGGCTGACCCTTACACGCGCACCCCCCGCTCCCCCAAGAAGACCAAGCCCCAGGGGCTGGGCGACATTGTGGAGCAGTACATGGCAGACCCCGAGAGGTGCAAGTCGCCCACGGGTAGCAGCACGGAACAGGTAGGCTCCATGCAGACACACTGCAAAAATTCGGGGAGTTCCGGCATCCTCGGGACTGGGTAGCTCAGTTCAGGGAACAAAAGAGCAACTTTTGGGGCAAGAAATCTTTCACTGTAAGACTCATGGGGAATGTTCAAATATAGTTGTCTTGAACCAGAAAGTGCCAGTTTTTGCCATGGTGTCGCATCAACTTTGCTCTTTCCTAAAGATTATTGACAAACCCGTGCTTTATTTATTTTTCACAATTTTGTTTTCACCCTCCTTGTCCTCAACTTTCATCTTTTAAACACCCCTCCTCCCTTGCACCCCTTTACTCTGTTCTTTGTCCCCTTTTCTTTACATTTCCCTCCCCACTTCCATCTCTTATCCCCTCCTCTAACCCCCTACATCTCCCCTCTCTGCAGCAGAACGGTGTCTGCGTTAGCCCCACCAGCTCCAACAGCACCCGCAAGCAAGGCCGCAACAACCACGACCCAGCCCAGCTCAAGCGCAGTAAGTCGCAGGGCTCTCGCAAGCTCATCTCCTGCAAGGCGCAGTCGGTCTGCTCGGACTCTGGCAACTGCGGGCCGGGGGAAGGTACTGGGCTCTCTTCTTTCCCGGCTCTTTGGGTGGACTCCTCTCGTGCCAGTTGTTGGTTTTTTTTTTTTTCAGTTTCAAATATTCTTTTTTGTCCGTGGCTGCACTCAATCCCCTCGTATTTTTATTTGGAGAAGTCCATTGAAAATGTAGTAGACACTTTAGAGTGGCTAGAACGCTGGAGCTGAAAGGAGTTTCTTTTTCAGTATTTTCCGTGTTTTAGAGTTGTTCAGATGCTGGCTGCATCGTTTTGGGAGATAAGTCAGAACTCTTAAGTGCTTGAGAGCGGCTGGAAGTTTTCTTGTTTAAAGATCACAATGAGCATATTTTCCAAGCTACTCTGAACCCAGTTTGTACTTTTTGTACTGAGATGTTCACATCAGGAACATGTCATGTGATTATCATCGGTCATTGTTCCTAACAAAGAAACAGAAAAAAAAATACATTACATTACAATGCAGAACCGAAAAGAGTAACAATGGGGCTGACATTTCAGCTACCTCCTTTCTAGCCCTCTCACATTTCAGGGGATGAAAGCGTAGTTAAAAAGTAACCAAAACGTCAACGTTTTGTGGATCTTTTCGTTGCTTAAGTGTTTAGACACCAGATTCTTTTTGATGCGTAGACGAGTCCCCAAATGCTGTCGCAGTGCATTCTGAGTCCTTTGTTCTACATCGCACCTCTTGTGTTTTGTTACCTGTAGAAATGGAATAACAAAGAATGGAGCAAAGCAGTTTTTCTTTTTTCCTTTATTTGTCGCTTCGTCTTAGAGATTGGGGTATTATTTTGCTCTACTGACCTGGTGCTAGAGTAGCAATGTGCACGCTTTATTGTCTCTAGCATTTACTCCTGTGTCGCTGTGTTGGAGGAATGAACACCTGGAGGTTAGCATTCGCACCATTAGTGTGTGTCAGCAATTTGTGTCCTCAGACCCGAAGGCAGTGAGGTTTTGGTGTCTGTGCAGAGAGGCAGACGGTCATGCCTCAAGTGCCAGATTAGCCTCACCTGTGTTCACTGCAGTCCCTGCCAAAATTAACCCAGTAGCTTTGTAGTCGAGCGCTTTGTGATGAGAATGAGCACCAGACATTTCTCAAGTCTCAGCTTGGACTTGAGTACTAGCGAGACGTGCTTGAGTTGTTTTCAAGTACAGGTTGCATGATTATTAAGTGCAGAACAGGTGCTCCGTTATCAGGGGGTACTGCAGCATTCGTTTTGAGGTGATTGTTGGTGATACTCGGCTGACACTCAGCTTGAGTGCCAAAGGGATGGAGAGTTGCAGTCCAGGCCAGTTGATTACAGTTTCAGGGTTCCTGCAACCTGGAAAAGTCATGAAAATTTGTCTTTGCTTTTTCAGGCCTGAGAAGCCATGGAATTTTGTAAAAATGACTAAAGTCGTGGAAAAGTCAAGGAATTTTGTCATGGAAGTCATAAAGCACTGTGCGATTTCTGTGATCAGAAATAAGTGCATAAAATCTGTGATTGTATTTGCAACCTGAAAGGCCACCTAGTCCAAGAAATTGCATTATTTGGTCGTGGAATTTCATAATTTGGTCATGGAAAAAGTCATGGAGTTGAATTGTCCTTTTAGGTTCAGGAACCCTGAGTTTGCATATACAGTTCTCTGAAAACCAATCTGAGCCCATGACGCCCTGTCAAATTTACTTAATTGTGGCTAACTGTGCTTTATGCTACGCAAGAACACTGGTCACGGCCGAAGCCGTGTGTCAGTTGAGGGAGGGAGCAAGGCCTAGTGGTTGGGGTGTCGCCACTCGTGAGCCACTCGGGCTAGCCACTCCACCCCTCTTGCCTCTCTCCACCCAGGAGCTTAAATTGATAGCTGGGGACTAAACTGAGATGGACTGGCATCCTATCCAGGGGGATTAGAAATATTTTCGACCGTTTCCTGCGACTGAAACAAAAGATGGATGCTGGGGCGATGGCCACATCTGCTCGCGACAGACTATATATCTCTCATAGCTGTTTTGGACAGAAAAAGAAACAGTGTATTTGTACAGTAGCGAGTCCAATTCATCTGTCACTGATTTCTGATGCATAGTGGCAAACGTTTAGATTAGTCTATGGCCTTGCTCAAGGCCCCCCCTCCCCCCTTGCCAGTGAAGAATAGAAATCTTTGGCCAACAGTCTGGCTCCCATGTCCATCATTACTCGGGTTGGAATAGCAATGGAGATCAGGGAACATTCTACCTGTCTTCAGGTAAAATGTATGTTGGTTGTTGACCCAAAGGGAAGTACACGTGAGGGTATCAAAGCGCCCTCATTCGTGCATGCACTAAGCACATACTCCAGCACCTTACACAGTGTTCCACAATGACTACATCTCTGACATTACAATAACCAAGCTGGGTTAGAGTTGTGCTAAAAGCATCACGCAGCACCAGAAGTTAAGCACCCAAGCAAAACTCAATGAAGATCTGAAACTGCAGGTAAAACATTAACCCTGACTGTCCCAAATCCTAGGATTTTGATATGATTTTTACAGGGTTAAAGAATAGATTTTTTTCTGCTTTAACTTACTAATTTAACAGAATGTTTGAATACAAGTGAAAAAAAAAGCTCTGCCCCCATACCTGGCTTCCTCAAAATGATAAGCTGGCATATTATTCAAGCTGAATGCACTTTGAAGAGTTAGGTCAGACTTCAATGACAAACCAAACTTGTAAACCCACAGGAGTTTGCATGGAAACAGCTACATGTACTACTTCATGGGTTTGCCAGCTGTGGGGAGATCTTACCTTTGGGATGTTTGTCTTTACTGCATTTCCATTGCCAGGAGCCTTCCGATCCCTTCAAAACCCATCGCCGTGCTTGAACTCCACGGAACACCTTCCCTAACACTTAGGTTTGCAAGGAATATCAAGCCTCAGTAACAGTGGTTGGGTTGTACCCCTCTCAGTCCTACAAAAGCCGCCAAATCCTCCTTGCGGATCCTCAGATAGGGGCAGTGGCGTAAATCTCTGCCGGGCACAGAGTGTTGGTTGAAGGGGGGATGTTTTGAAACACATTGCGGCCAAGAAAAATTTAAAAGTAGGGGGATTGCAGGACACTTTGTGACACTAGAGGGAGCTGTTCATGATACACGCAGATGTATATCTTATGCATACTTACACCTCTATTACAGCAGTGCGGTGCTGTTTGAAGCTTACTTTTTCTCCTTTATTTTTCAATACTGTTGAATACATTTTTGGTCATTGGTAAGTTTGAAAAAAAAACCAAAACCAAAAGTAGCTTTTTTTTTCTCACCACGAAAAGCGGGGGTTGAGTCAATAGCCCATCTCCCCAGGTCCTCAAAAGTTGGGGATATATAACCCCCCCCCCCGGATGTACGTTCCTGGTTAGAGACCTAGGATTAGGGTCACCTTGCTGTCCTTCAAAATGACTTTTCAGAACCAAGAGTAGGATAAGCGAGCAAAACGTAGCCAGCTTATAGAGGGCACAAGATGGTCCCAAAGAGGTAGAACATTGGACTCTGAGTGTGTCACCAATGTGGCCACCCTGTTGGAAAGGGTTGGCATGACGATCTATAACCATGGTTCCCGAGCCAGCCCATGAAAAACTTGTGTAATGGGACTTCACAGAAATCCCTGGATTTACTGAATAGTCTCACTTATTTTCAGTTTCCTGTCTGTTTTTCCAACATTACTTCCCCAGTGAATGAGGCATGAAACAAATCTTAAACCCCGAAGATTGAAAGATAGAAAGACCCATTACTGTCTCCCAATGAAATCTCCCCCCCCCCTTTTTCCTTGGATTATCCCTTTAGAGCTCAGTATATTAATAAGTTCTCTGATTGGCTGTTGTAGGAGTCCACCTTTGCCAGGAATGGTACCTTCCACCTAGCCTGCCTCCTGATTGGCTGTGCTTCTTAACCTTGCTCCACCCACGCATTCCCCAGAAGGCAATGTGGGCGGGTTTTATTTTGGCATGCTGTATGGAATAGGCATCCATGAGTATGGTATGGTATTCTCAAGGGTGCATTTTGGATAATGCATATTCAGATTATTAGATGAATAATCCACTCACTTTTTTGAATGGAGCGTGACTAAAATGGATGCCTTTTTCATAATCTGTTAGCTGCTTTAACACTAGTTTACTCTTGCTGTTGTAGATGCACGTGCCGCAGACAACTTAACCAAAGGCAAAAAAACTTAGAATTGCTGTCAATTTATTGCCATGGCAACAGGCATTTTGTACCAAAAGGGAGGAACAACTGATGAAAGCTTATCAAGTGCAAATTGTGCAAAATAGTTTTTTAAAACGGAGTGAAAACAAAAACAGATTTCAGTATATGAGATCAAATATTGCACTCACCGACTTCTCCAAAATGCTGCCACCTCCTCAGAAATGGAAGAAAAGTTGATATCTTCATCCTCAGTTGTTACTGCCTTTTCTGTCTCTGCATACAGAACTAACCTGCCCCTGTGTTCCCTCACTGAAAAAAGGTTCATCCCTGCAAACATAAATGGACGGGTGCTCCTTTGATGCAATGCACTGTTGTCTGTGCACCACACTCGGCAAACTAATGCGTGGTTGATTGAAGTCAGTTGACTCGACCTAACAACTCAGGTCACAAGTCCTCCAAGCTATGAAAGCAGGCTTTCCAATCAATCTTATACAGGTGTCAATTTGTTGTCAGGATTTCATACTAAATCCTAGTCAGAAATGAACCTCAGGAGCTATGGCTAGGTCTGTTTTCTGCATGTGCCCATGTATTTGCAACCATGAAAAGACCTAGCCCTAGCTCTACTCACAAGATCCGGACTTGCAATTCACCTGAAAGAACATTCCAATATCTTGTTTTAGATACAAACCCGAGAACAAAACCTTCCCTTCAAACTCCTTTTTGCTTGATCAGGTCACATTCACGTAGGGTACCAAATGTGAGCCTGTCTACCGTTTAACAAAACACAGTTTGATTGGCCGAAGTGGTTTGTCATCAGTTCATACGGTTTGTTATGTGTGTGGTGAAAATTACACTGACTCACAGACCAAACTGGTAATGCACTCACATTGCACCAGCGTTTGCAAGGTGGCCCATTCAGGCTAAGCAGGGACAGTAAACTGCTTACCAGATTCAGTCATTATGGCAGGCTGTCACGGCACAGGTTTGGACCCTGTTTCACTGATTCATATACGCTCAGCGAGTTTACCCAATGCGGGGACACTGAGCCATTCAGTTACGTGACTCGGTCTACAGATCGCAGTCCAGAATTGCATAGTGACCATTTACCCACTTACAGTAGAAGTTTACCTATAACTTTTTCTGACACTGCACCCTCGTACACAGCTCTGTTACTAACCGCACGCTTGCTTATGAGGCAAACATTCAGCACGTATCTGGTCATGGTACACGTAACTGGATTTCTTTCTTTTCCGTTTGTGTCTAACCGTTGTAGTTTCCCCTTTTAGTTTTCCCTGGACTGATTAAAGTGACTGTGTCAGGTTTTTGTTGGAATGAATTGAAAAGTTGTTCCCATAGGCTGTTTTAATGGTTACAAGACATGGAAAGTCCCATTGCTGTGTCCGCAGTTTCAAGTCTTGGGGCCTACAAAAGGCAGGCGTGCAAGTTTTCCTTGGGATCGGCTGATTTCCTCATTTTTCGTTCACACTCAAAGTCTTGCAGAGAGTGGAATTTCCTTGTTTTCGTCAAAATCCAAGTTGCACGCCTGAAAAGGATACGTGATTGATGACCGTGATGGAATGAAGTTGGTACCAGTCTATTTTACGACCCAGCAATTGGTTGAATCTTTGAAAAAAATATTTGTGCGACATGCAGGAGGAGTGTTGCCAACTCCTCCCCTGCAGTGCCCAGGTCTGAAGGCGCAGATATTTCAATGAATAGAATGTATGTGCGGTATGCACTAATCCTCACAGAAAACCTCGGCTGTGGATGGTTCCCGGTATGAAGGGGTTAAATGAGACACGATGCAGTATTCATGTTAAACAAAAGGGGTGTGTCTAAAGACTCTGTCAGTTATGTTATCAGTGTGACTTCTGAATGGCCCCCCCCCAGCCTCTGGGAACAAGGTTGGACTTGGTTTGGCCTTGCGTGCATGCACCATGTTTTAGTGCTGATGCGCCAAGTCGGTTGGCAAATGTCCAAGATTTTTGCTCTCAAGACCTTTGAAAATGTTTCCTGACTCTGCAGTGATTTCACCAGCACATTAACGGAACTACATGTACAAGTGATTTCTTTGTAGTTGATTGCTAAAATGGCTAAAATAACTCATGACAAAATTAACTATTTAACAATAACAGAATGTTACTGTTCAAAACGCAAACAATTTTTAGCAATGTTATGATCCCATTTGCAAAAAAAGTGAAGTTATTTGATGAGGAGGAAATTTGGTTTCTCATCAGCATATGTGAAATGTACATGCACGCCATGGAATTGTCGCCAGAATTCATGATGCCTCTTTTGACAGGCATAATTTTTGGATGAGAAAATCCTATTTGCCAACCAACGGTCTGGTTAGTTCCACCGTGATCTATTGTTTGCTTTGTATTTTTCTCTTGTTTCTTCCCCTGTACCTCTGGATGTGTTTCCCTTCTTCACCATATTCCATCGTCATGTGGTTGTCTGCCCACCATTCTATTGTACGTGGGTGCTGGTGGTGTGGTGTCGTGGCATGCTATTGGCTCAGCTGCCCCAAACGGTTCTCCGCCCACCCCTCCACCCAGTCCGAAGGAGGGGCCCAAGGAGTCCAACCCTGCCCATTCCCACTTCAGCCAGCTCATCAAATTTGTTGTTGCTGGTCTTAGCATGAGTGAGTGTTTTCCGCTGTGGTAGATTTTTTTTGCTCGTTTTTTTTTTTTTTTTTCATGGTTTAATTCTTTCTCTTAGTTTTTCTTGGACACTTTTGCATTGTTTTAAGCCATTTATGTAATCAGATTATATTGGTATTCCTTGAAAAATTTATTTTGATGTGTGTGGGTACCAGTTAACTTGAGAAATATGAAAAGTTTGTGAAACGAATTACAGGTATGACAGTTTTGATTTCACTTTGTGTCGATTTTAGTCAAAGCAAAGGTCGTGTATGTTTGATTAGCACATTCATTTACCACATGAGAGCTTTGCCTTTTTTGCAGGAATTTCGCTTTTGCTCCATCTACAACAAATTTTCCATCATGACTAAATGCTTAATTGCGTATTAATTTTCTGTCAAGAAATTCACCCTTTGTAGCATTGTTTGGTGCCCAAATATTTTGTAACGTCTGAGCTCATTAACACTGATTTTGAAGATTCTGACAGACCATTATTGAAAATCGAACCCCCCCACACAAAAAAAACATGGAATACAGGGAGTGGTTCTGATCATGCATGATGAGTGCTTCATGATTTAACATTTCATTGCTTTGTGTGTCCATCCGTTTGATTTCCATATCCGCCCGTAATAGACCCATCAGTTCTTCACGTGCCGTGTAAGTTTCTTCTGGCATTTCATCCGATCATTCGCACCATTTCTCTCTTTGTCTTTTCTCTCTCCGGGTTGCACCGCCATACACAAAAAGAAGAGGTCACCTCTGGCATGCTATATTTCCACTCGAAGTCACCACATTTTTTTGTTTGCATTTGCTCTTCTGATGTACAAGTGGTTTCTCCCATGTCGTTATCTTCTCACACAATTGTACACGTCTCCTCGTAATTGTATTTTTTCGCCGTATGATTCATTATTTCATCTCATTTGATCAATTCCTTGATCCTTACCTGCTTGTCAGCAAAAGTGAATTGGATTGAGCCAGTGTGATTTGGATTGTAAATTAATTTGGGCTGTGGGGAAAGTAGCCGTGAAAACTCTTTTTCTTGAGAAACGTCGACCCTTTTCTGCTGTCTTGTTTACGTCATTCTGTCATCTCGCCCGTTCGCGGATATTTATTTTCAGCAAATATTTCGCATTTTATTTTACCTTCAAGACATATCTAAGTCAACTTTTGCATTTGTTTTGTTTGTCAAGAGCCCCTGAGTGTCTAAGGCTTCAAATTTGAAAACAAATCGTTCTTCTGTCTCCTGACACTCTGAAAAGATGAAATCCAGATTGAAATTACCATCTTTCATTGATGTACAGACCTTGGTTTGACTTCTTTTTGATGAAAAACAGATTCTCAAAGCCCTCTGCGATACATGTAAACTCCTTCTGGCTTGGTTTTTGTCATCAAAATTTAGCTTCGAGATGCACACAAAAGTATTCAGTGGCTCTTATTCCATGATGTTTATGATTTTCCCTCCCTTCCACACCCATAGCCCCACCCCCTCCTTCTTCCCTTACTCGCCTAATAACAAACTGACACACTTCCGATTGGCTCATGAGCTAACCGGCTTGAACAAGTCTGTCACAAGTATAACCATTTAAAAAAGTTGCATTTTAATTTCATCATTCTGATCTGTGCCACACTTGGACCAATACTAAGTTATCAAGTTAACTTCTGCTAGAGTCCTGGAGAAAAATTTCGGTTGCAGTGATGTATTTGCAGCAATGTATTGATAAAAAACCTTCATACATTCCTCAGAAAAATTTAAAAAAAAGAAAATTCCCCAGCCAGGCAAGGCAGATATTTGCAAATGTAGAAAGTTCCAAACTGCGTTGGCCACTCAATTTGAACTGGCTGCTTTATCATTGCAGACAGCCTGGCTCCATGTGTGGCCACTTTACCTATCGTTATGAAGGCCATTAATTGACATCAAAGTTCACCTGGCCATTTTGGCCAACCAGGCTGAGAGACCAGCAGGCCAATGCGGCCTGACCATTTGGGTAACCTGGCTGTTACGGTAGCCAACAATCAGGTCTTTGAAGTTGAATTTATTGGAACAATTGTAACCCCTGTAACCCGACAGTAACCGTGGTTACCCCCTCCCAGTGCCTTATTTGCATCGAAGAATTTTCTATATCCTAACGTGACAGTCATTTTGGCCAATTAGTCCCAAGATCTGCCGATGCAGAGAATTAAATCTAACTGCGTTAGCCTTCTAACATATTTTGGCTGTTTGCTTGTACTTGGTCGTTTAACTTTTTTAGATCCAACTTCAAGTTTATAATCAAAATCAGCATCCAGTTGATACATGCATATCCCTCATTCTTTTCTATTCTTGCATGCCACGTTACCAGTATTTTGACCAAAAAGGTTGATTATTAGAGCAGATGATTTCACAATCGTTAAAGTACTTGTTGACAATTTGAGCCGTCACCTTTTGAGTAATATGTCTTTTATTTCCAGCATTGTTAGTTCCATGCCCCCTCTGGGTCAGAAAAAAGCCTAAGAACCGATTTGATTGGTTGTTTTGTGACGTGATGTCCACTCCTGACTTATCACTGAACAGCTAAGTTGTTCCCCCTCCTTTTGTCATGCTAAAGATCGCAGTGAGGGCTCGTTCACCAGATCGAGGAGCTCCAGCATGTCCAGCCTTGAGAAGGAGGCTAGAGAGGGCGTCCAGTGTTTGACCTTTGCGGAATCCTACACCAGGAAAACAGGTCCGATTTTTTTCCCCTACCATAAGCTTCCTTTTTTGGAACTCACTGACCACGTGCAAAGCAGGTGTCTAAGCCTGTGTTCAAAAACTCGCGGCTACAGCTGATGGCAACACACATGTCTATGAGAAATGGATTCAGTCATTAGCCACTGGCCAATATGCTTGTACACAGCTATTAGTAAGTCTGAGTAGGCCTTTCTCACCTTCCCATAGCATATTAAAACAAAACTGTTCTTCATACCTAGACTGTTCAGATGAGATTGAAGTTTTTCATGGTGGAGATAGCAAGTAAACTAGATAGGTTTGAGGTAGCACCTTGGACGTATCTCTTTTTTTTTCTGAATATTGAGATGGACGGTCCCCATCAGTTGGCAAGGTTTTGGACTGATTTGAGATTGACTGTGATGTGCAAAACTTGGGTGGATTCAACTAGGGCTTTATGCCCTAGTGTGCCCTCACCCGTGACAGAGAGGATGAGCTGACATGTAAACGTCTCTGCCTTCTGTTTTTCTGATGCCTTCTTGAAGGCCCTGTGGGACCTGACCAAGTTTATGTTGTGCTTAGCCAGTGCTGAGAAAAGATCAATGCTTTGAATTGAATTGTTGGAGTCACTGTCAGCATTGGCGTTTCCAATTTTTTCGCAGAGTCTGTGACCTCACCCTGCATCTGGGTGGGGACCACCCTGGGCTCGGTGCTTGTCATCGTCATCAACCTGCCACCCTGGGGGGAGCAGAGGTACACCCAGCCCGTCATTGTCACCCCGAGCGGTGAGTGTTAAACACGCCAGGCACATACGTGCCAATTAGTACGCTTTTGGCGAATTTTGTAAGAAAAATTGATGAAAATACGACCGTATGTTTTTAACACCGTAAAATACGTATTTTGATAATTTTGACATGGACAGAAAAAAGAGGGCGCGGTGTGAAATCTAAGCTAAAAAGCTAAAGCTGCTGCAAGTAAGACTAAGCTACATGTCATGCGGTTCGATATCGCGAACTCATAAAGTAGAGTGTTCGTGATTGGTGTACGCGATGTACATATGCCCCTGGTAGTGCACGTATCAACCATTTGGAACGTCGCATACCAAACCGATTGGCATGCATTGTGGAGTGTACGTTCCTGTGTATGCAAAAATTTTCCTGAGGTAGTCGTAAAACTGCGGAAATGAAGATGGCTTCAACTTCTAAAAAAGACCCCCCAAAATGGAAGCAATCTTTCAAAAGGGAATATACGGAGAAATTTGAATTCATATTACGTTCCCGGAGAGGTGAACATTACGCTCGCTGCACTTTGTGTAGTTCTGACTTTAGTATCGTGCATAGTGGGAGTTATGATGTATCTCGCCACATCGAAAGTAGTAAACGCCGCGACATCGCTGAAACGAAGAATGCGACCCACAGCATCAGAAAGTTTACGTCTTCTGAAGATTTAAGCACCATCAGAGCCGAGACCCCTTGGACAGATTACGTAGTTCGGCACTATCTGCCTTTCGCGTCGTCGGATGATTTCACGGACGTAGAAAAGACGATGTTTCCAGACAGCAAAATTGCATCCCAGTTTGCCTGTCGTAGGACAAAAACTACCGCTAATTGCATGAACCACACGTATTAAACTTCAAATAGTATGTAGTCACGTAAAGGTACTTGTAAGCATCTCTTTCCTGTTTGTTTGGGAAAATACACATTTTTATTGAACAATACACATTTTGGAACCTCCGAATACACTTTTGCGATTCTAAAGGTTGGCAGGTCTGCAGGCAAACAAATCTGTAATACCCTAGGCCTCAAACCTTAACTGTCAGCCTTGGAGTATTACAACGCTTGGCATTAGTGAGTGATACGTTGTATTGCTGGCCCAAGGTCCCATCCCAAACCTTATTCACAAATCAGCAAAGTTTACGAGTCTCATAGCTTTTGCCTGACTTTCATAGATACCTATTGAAGTTCAGCAATTCCTATTGGTCAAGAGCCCGTCTTGTGGCCGGTCTTAAAGGGATGATGAAGTACCGGCTGGCTGTGAGCCACCTCATGCATTTGTAGAGCATAAGTACGCTTTCGCTGCCAAACACCTAGGTCTCTAGTCAAAATTCCAAGCGATGGATATCATTTTAAGTTTTCGCTGGTTCCCGCCAAGCGCTTGAATGCTCTGGGTGGTGTTTCCTTCATTGTCGCTTGAATTTTTGATGGTCCCGATATGTTTCCCCCCAGGCACTATCTTGCGCCTGAAGGGCAGCACCTTGCTGATGGCTTTCCTAGATTGCAACGGTAGCCTGATCACCCCACCCTACGAGCCCTGGAAGGACGTGAGCCGAGAGACCAAGGACAGTCGAGACAAGAGTAAGTCGGAAGGCGTCCTTCACGGAAATCGAGCAGCGAGTCAGCGTTTCCTCCCCGTTTTCACAAATTCACACTTGCACGAATTTTTTTGTTTTGTGTCAGGGCCGCCATCGTTACAGCGCATGCGGATGTCGCCCTCGTCCTCCACTGAAATTGCAGACCGGCAATTTGTCGTCATCTGCTCCGAGAAGGAAGCTAAGGTGGGTCAACTGTGCGTTTCCATCTTGCAAATGTCTGTGCAGAAAGACTTGCTCTGGGAATACTAAGTAATCCCTAGCCATATGGAGACCAAACCCTCCACCCTGGCCTCCGTGATGTCTGACAAAGACCTCACATTTGTCGTCTTTCCTCCATCCTCTTTCGCAGGTCATATCACTTCCGTCACAGACTTGTGCATATCGAGTCAAAGTGGCCGAGTCCTCCTATGTTGTCCGGGCAGACGTCATCAGTTTGCAGAGTAAGTGTATTGAAGTGTAATGCCACACCCTCCTCCCCCAACCTTCGCACCCTGCACTCCATGTAATGTCTGTCTCATGAGGTTGTCCTCTTACGCTCTCTGCGGCTAATCAGCAGGCCTACGTGAAATGCCGTTTGGAAATATTTCACAGAAGCATCTTCTCACCATTTAAAAAATTTTTCGCTTCTGCTATCCAGGATTTCAGAACATGTTTGTTTGCAATAGTCTGGTTCCTCTTAAGGACCAATAATAGGCTCCCAGTGTGTGCTGTTTCATTTGAAGTTGGCTACCCGATTTTAAATATTCCTCAAATTTTCTTCCGGTTTGCAGATAGCGTTTGTCTGGCCTGCTACGTTGCCAATGGCCACATCATGGCCTTCAGCTTGCCCAGTTTCCGGGTCCTGCTCGACCACGACTACCTTCCACTGACTGATCTCAGGTCTGTTGGTTTGTCAGTGTGTTTGTGTATCTGCCCTTTCCACAGGAAGGGTTTGGACGCTATGGTGAATATTTGCGGTGTATAGAGGGCAGTATTTATCACAACCAGGAAATTAACTGAATGGCACTCATTGGCTTTTGATATTGATATGTTGAGGCAAAGAAATCTTTGGCTGAATAATGTGAGTAGCATTGGATAGGCTGGTTCCCATTCCCTCAGTTGCATTTTAGACATTCAAAAGGGGCTGGAACCAGTTTTGATGTAGACGCCCTTCATGCATGTCCCCGTTACATCAGCACAGTCAGTAGCTACTTTGTGCTACATTGTTTGGCTAATCCTCACTTTTTCCCTCCCTGCCACCACCCCACCCGCATCCCCCCCCTTTACTTCTCAGGATTGGCCGGACATTCCAGTTTAGCTCCCACGGCAAGGGGATTTACCAAGCCAGTCCGACAGAACTCCAACGGATAACGATATGCAGCGAGGCAAGGTGAGATATTAACCCTCCTATGCTGAAGTCACTCTTTGGGTCACTTGGTAAACACCTCAAAGAAGCACAGCTGTGTCGTGTTGTGCACTGCACCAACATGCAAGAGAGTGACCTTGGGCACTTGTGCATATTTGTGCTGTAAAACTAAAGGAGGGTTAACCAAGCCATTTTTGTTATGCCGTGTGGTTTCGTTCACAGATGCAATGCACTAAGTATAAAGGGTTTCCATGGCTGCCATCTTGCAGGCCAGTGTTTTTTTTTTTCGACAGGGTATGCAAAGAGGAGGCTTCCCTGTGGAACAAAAGAACTGTCCTGCAAGATGGCTACCACACGAAGCCTCCGTTTTATGCCCAGTGCTTTCTTAGAGTGGGCGGGGAAGTTCTGCCAAGGTTGCCCTGCCCTGGCTTATGATGGACTGCAGTACAACTATGATTTTTTCTCTCACTGATCACCCCACTGCTCTGTTGATCTCTCTTTAGTGAGAACCTCCACGATATGCTGGGCGACCTTTTCCTTCCCGTCAACACTCCCGAAGCACCCAGTAAAGGCTTCTTCAAGGGGCTGTTTGGGGGTGGCAGCAGCACTTTGGACAGGGAAGACTTGTGTAAGTCTAGTCCCTCTGCCTCTGAATCCAAGGACGAACTCCCTGTCACGTATTCCCACTTCATTCATCAGCCAGAGACGGCACGTTCTTGTTTGGCAGTGATGTCTTTTGGGTGGGGAACATACCCTGTGCGCACGTGTACAGGTTCACGAACACTTTGCATTGGACGCACTGAGCATATTGAAACAATCTTCGCATGTGCGCCGGGTGCCACTCAAAATGGTCCCCATAAGCCTCTCTCTCCTTTGCTAACAAGGTGTGTACGCAGCGGATAAGTCTATTTACTTCTATTTACTAACTTTTATTTATTTTTTGGGTTTTGTTTTTAGTCGGTGAGTCAAGCGGTAAGCCGTCTCGTAGCATAGCCAGGCACATACCAGGTACCGGTGGCATTGAAGGAGTCAAGGCTAACTCAAGCTCAGCCGCTGGGGAGCTGTACAAAGCACGCATTGTGAGTATTACTCAGCCACCTCGTTTGACAAACTCGGAAGGGAAACTCGTTATGTGAGCTCATAAGTGATGTCTACACTTGCATGTCCAGTTTCAATAGGATTAGGATTCAATAGGATTCAATGGGACAACCGAGATGGGGGGGGGATATCCCATATCATCTCCTGCCTCTGGCTGGAAGATAAAAAAAATACTGTGGCTCTTTTAGGGCTGTCGTGTTGCAAAGTTTGGATCATGCTTCATTCAGCCCACATTTTCTTACAATTAGCAGTATTCCTTTGTACATTTATACATCAAAAGAAAAGTGACTTACAAAAGAGTAAAATGAACGTGGTCGACGATCTTCTGACAGGCACTGCATGAGAGAGGCGAGAAACTGAGCGAGCTGGAGGAACGCACGGCCCAGATGATGGCCAGCGCCGAGAACTTCTCCCAGGCCTCCCACCAACTTATGCAGAAATACAAGGACAAGAAGTGGTACCAATTTTGATGTACTAGGGGAACCGGCCTTGGTGCTCGGGGGACCAGTCGGAGCCAACCTTGTTGATGAAGCCGATGTAAGGGAGGAAAAAAAACAGAGAGAAAATACATTTAAAAAAACAAAGCAAAGAAATCGGATGATTTTTTGTGCCAGGGCAACAGTTCCACCCGAGAAGGGGGCTACGATGCTGATTTTTTCTGCTTCGGAATTCCATCTGAATGACTGGCGGTTGGACGATGGAGAGCAGAAGATCTTGCTGGATAAAATAAGAGAGTACGAAAATTACTAAAAGCAATTTGTGTGAAATTTCAGTGGAAGATAGAACGGATGAGGAAATAATTCCTGAATGTGATCTGGGTCAGGCATATTGCCAAGAATCAGGATGGGGTAGAAAGCAGTCTGGGGCCGTGCTGAAGGTTGTAAACTTTTGGCACAGCATTCAGAAGTTTTGAAGCTTGCATGCAGCTCTTAGGTTACTTTAAACGGTATTCCAGATCGCCGGCGAAGCGTATGATTCCTGAAACAACGTTTTCAAGAAATTCAAATGGAATGTAAAGATTCACAGTTTATTTGGATTGGTTTCGTTGGCCGCACTGCTGCACAAATTCCGTGTTCGATTTGATTTTCTGCCATGTTTTAAGCTCAATTTTCTTTAAAAGTTTGCACCGGGTAAAGAAACCTCCAGGGCAAAAACAAATGAAACTGTAAGAATTTTGAGGATAGGTGTCACACAACAAATGAATCCTATCACTCGTAGAGTTTTTTGTTTTTTTTTTGGTGCCGTACTGCCTGGAACTGGTGTTTGGTGGCGGGAGATTGTGTGAAAACTAAACGACCGACAAAAAGGGGAGCAGGAAATGGCATTAAGGGCCTGAGCCTCGGAAGCGGTTCGGACAGACGACGGAAGTGGCGTTACGATGGGACGATAATGCTGAGTGGCAAGAGCAAAGCGCATTTAACAATTAATCATTGACATTGCTAAACTCGGTTGACATTCCAGTGTTTGGGTCAGACACGACTCCCTCAGCACGTTGTACCATTCTTTTCATTGTGCATGCATTCCGTAGCTCAGCTGGTGTCGGTTTTTAAACTAAACAAGAAAAATTCCACTCGTTTGAATCGTTAGTGTCCGAGTTCGAGATCTTAAAACATTCCATGACTAACTTTTTTCCTGCTTGTTCCGGACTGTCTGATTGTCAATTCTAGTGAAAAATATGATAATGTGAGTTATGTTCGTGCGGATGTGTTGGAAGGTCAGTTCTCTGTTCCTACAACGTAGCTGTGTCCAGGTCTGAATAAAAGCTTAACAACTGATTTGATATATTTTATTTTGTTGTGTATATATAAATATATATATAAATGTACTGGAGGCATTTTTCTGTAGTTATAGTGTAGAAAAGTACAAATGTGGACTCCAATTGTTCTTAGGGTAAACGTGCAATAGGCCTTGGATTTGTTATCGCTGATTATCGCTGATCGATTATCCTCTTCACGACTTTTAAAAACAAAAGACACAGCTTCTTCGTTTAAAAGAAAAAAAAATTGGAAAGAGGTGACGACCGGATGGTCTCTGCTTCAAAAAAAAAAAAAAAACCACTCAAAAATGAAAGTAATATATCCAGTGAGTTTAAGTAATTTTTTTGTTGGTAACATCGCCGTTCCAAAGCAGAAATTGTAAATGAGTGATTGCATTTCTAATTATTGTCGACTGTGAACGTATTAGACAATGAAGATAGTGGTACCACTTGGTACGCTAGCTAGACAGTTTTTTCGTACTTTTGACAGAGGCAGCTTACCGACAGATAGTTAAAAAAAAGAAAGCTTGCCTCGTGTAAATAGACTATGGGAAAAATATAAAACAATAAACATTAAGAAATGAAATGATTATGAGTATATATGACTGTATAGAAACGTTAACTGGAAAAGAAAACATGTTTTAGACTAGAGGACTCAGCTGCGAATTAAATTTTAAAAATTAAGTACAGCTACATATATATGAATATAAATATATAAATATCTTATTTGCTTCTCACTTGACGGAGGCATGTATTCGGGTCTGGTACACATATGTTGCTGTCCTGTCTACCTATTATACCATGAGACAGTGTTATATTCTAACGGCATATATCACCACACATTGCCATATCAAGCGTATGTTACCCGCCTGCCTAAAATGACATTTCTAGTAACGATATGGCGACAGACTACCTACAAATAAGCGCTTCAAGATCTGTGAATCTTGCTGCCTGGTAAGTGCAGATCTGGAGATTTTTTTTTTTGGTTACATTATCTGGCAATGTACAGTATGGAGACTCCATTGTTTTTTTTCACATAGATGTAAATAGGAATTTTGTGTAGCCGAGTTCTGTAACGTGACGGTGTCAGATTTGTCCTTGATTTTCCTCTTTTTATTTGTATGGGTGTGCTTGTGTAGGTGATCAGGTCTCACCAAGAGCTCTCCTCAAAAATGCATTGTTCATGAATAGTTTAAGTAACTGCCGAGTGTTAACCAAAAATGTACCAAATCTCAACTGCAATGATACACCAATATATTGTTTCAGCTGTAATATATACCTTTTGATTTAATGCTAAACATTATTCGTTCACTGCAGGGTTATGTTGCCGCTATTTGAAATTGTGAAAGGCCAGCAAAGCCCACACATTGCACGAGTAGTGGCAGCCATTGATGAATTGTTTTTCCATTTAAAGTTTAGTGTTTTGATTGGTTTTTGATAGTTCCAGCCTGTAGACCAACTATAACTTCATTAACGTACAGGTTCCTGTCTAAAACCTCCATTTTGGAAACTCAGTCATGGTTGCAGGTGTGTATTCTAATAACTTCACTGTTGAGATAGCATGAACATTTTTATTACAAACTTTACCCATGAAAAAATAGTTCTTTTTCTTTTTTTGGGAGGGGGCTGTGAAATGATACTTAAGACTGTATTCCATAGTGGAACTTGCAGCAAGTTTCTTGTATCTTCGCCATATGTGTCAAAAAAGTGAAATTTTGTCTTAGTAAAAGTAGGACAATCTTACGTCTCAAAAGTGTGCTTGTTTACGGGTGAATATTTTATTCTACACTTTTAGGTTCCTTTTTCCAAAGTATGAAAATTGACCCAAAAATATTGGTCAGTGTGGCAAGTTTTAACCAAATTTAACCCAACCAGTCTGCAATCCTCCAAAAATCCCCCAAGCAGGTGTGGACGGACCTGGAGGATCGAGCTTGTATGGCAAAAACTGTGTCGATTCTGATTCCGAAGGATGAATTGTGTCAAGGTCTTGGGTCACGTCTTGTGTTCATGCCCGGCCATGTTTAAAGTTAGGCACGGATTATGCTTGGGACACATCCGCACTGCTCCAGGATACCGTTTGCACGTCCTCCTCAACATCTTGACAGGAATTGCCAGGGATTTTGGAAGGATCAAGGCAGTGGTTAACCCCTCCCTCCATGATACAGTCAAGAAATGAAGGAGAGTTTTGGAAGACTGAGGGTGTGTCAAGTTTTTCTCCAAAGGCAGTGCAAATTTGAAGAGTTATAAGGATGCATCCCTGAGAAAAAGGCCAAGAGAGTAAAGGTTACGAGTCGGCCAGTAATTTTTTTTTTTCACTGCGAGGGTTTCACCCAACTCCTGAGATCAGTTGAGCCTGCCTCTCGGACAAACAAACTGAGCTTGCATATTGATTCAGGAACAATAGACCAATCTAGTAAATCCCCCCCCTCACTAGGCACCTGGGCGCTTAACACGTGGTCTTCTCCAATGCCACCAGCATGCATCTCATACGTGCGTGCATGCATGTCAAACGTTTGTGCATGCATGTTGGACATAAATCACGGCTGTGAGTGGTCAGAAGACAATGGAGTGAGGCTGAACGAATCGGTGTGTTTATTCCAAATCGTCCACCAAAAAAATGAAAAAAAAAAAACAATCCCATACCAACACATGACGGGTAAAGGCTTTACAGGAAGGGCACCATGTCAGTGGAAGCGCGTGCATTTTGAAATCCGTATTTCTGTTGGCAGTTTCCTGTAGGTCAGAATGTTGAGGAACTTCGAGGGCACCTGTGTTTCTGTGCACATCTATGTCAATTGAGTGCTGACCGTCAGAATCACGTAACTGAAAATTGTCTATGTGAAGATTGGGAACTGTTGGGTTGAATCAAACTCTGAGGCTTCGCAAAGGTGGCACCGGTATTTTATTGTGTATTTAGACAAACTGGAAGTGCATCAGGAAGACACAATTGAGATGGAAAGTATTTAACCACCAATTAATCAAATGGTTTATTTCAAATAGAAAAGGAAAAGCATGTATCACTGAGGAGAGTATGAACTAGACACTATTGCAATAGTTGATATGGTTAAAAATTTGCAAATGTCGTAGGTAATCCTGACTGAAACCCTGAAATGTGTAATTAATTGGTTTCTTTTGTTTTTGACTTCATCAGCACGTTGTGTCGAGCTGTGATACCAAATGCCACTGATTACCTATTTGGAAGAAAAATTGAAAAATATAATTGTATAGTATGCATCAGTTACAAAGTGGTGTGACATGCGTGTCCAGTAAGCAGATATGTCAGAAGTACATCGCCTGAAAAAAACCCTAAAATTCCTTTTTAAATGACGTACTAGAGATTTTCTCCTTGCTTAATTAAGAAAAGAATTTGCAAACGTGATATATATATTTCCTTTGGCTACTATCAGTTTTATTTTTACAAGAAAATTCCTCGTAAATATTGAGCTATTATGTAAAGTAATGGTCACTAACCACGGAGTACACTGTTTTTTTTAATACATTTCAGTCAACTTTACTGTTGTCATTTTTGGTCTAACTTGACGTCACGTACTGTTAGGTTTCTGTTCCAAGTTGTTAATTATTTAGATAAATATATTGTCATTTCTGAAGCCATTTTACCCCTTTTTCCGCTTGCCTGTTAAAGATTGAAGATAACAGTTTTCCCACCCCCTTTCTACACACCCCTTCCATTTAGCCCCACCTCCCTACCACCACCACTTGGGAAAAAAAAAAAAGTCGAGGAAATTTGTTGCCGTTGGAGGAGCTTGTTTTTCTTCACGCTTAGTCATTATTGCGCCCTCTTTATACCAACTCCTCCAGTATTTTGGCTTCTGAAGTAGTGGATGCCCACGCTTTACAAAAGTGTATCCTTTGTAATTTGGAACATTCAAGTTGATTACAGTTGGATCTTGGCGGTCAATGGCAAAAAGAAGCAATGCTGATCTGGTCTGGAGGGCTTTTTTGTGGCCGGAGGAAGCTTTCACGTCTGTCAGTAGCCGTGTTCCTCTCTGTCTAGTGTAGTATTTAAAACCACAAGACAAACACTCCAGCCTGCAAGAAATTTTTTTTGCGTGGCTTTCTATAGCTTTGTTGTAAGGGCCCTCCAGCTTTGAGGTCTTGCTGACAAGTTTCAGTTTCATATTCAGGAAAAATTCATTTTAGCAGCGTCCATTTACGTCAAGAAGTTTTTATGGTCAGTAGACAGAAATATGGTATCTTTGCAATATGTATAGTTAACCCCTTGAAAAGTTCAGGTGTGGCAAACTTTCAGTGTATGGCTACAGGGTGCACTAAGAATTTTATGATTTCCTGTTAGTTGGTCGAATGTTGACAAGTCTTTCAGTGTAGATTTGTTGGGGGACTTGTCATCACTCTCTTGCTAGATGGCAGGAGTTTTGCTGTATTAATACATAGTTTCAAGTTTCATTTGTTGATTGTATTAATGAATGTAAAATTTTGTTCTCTTAAGAAACATCTTGCATCCTATTCCATATTTTAATGGTAATTTCAGCTCTTATGTCAGATTTTCTTTGAAAGTGTTCAGGTCAAACCAAGAATTTGATCATTCCTTTTTTTTAATGAGAGACTGTGACGTAATGGTTAAGGCTTGTGGGTGTAGATCAAAGAATTGGGGGAGGGCGAAATCCACCTGCTTGCCATAAGTTATGTCCTTGGGCATGCCACTTTAAAATGATTCACAGGATAGGGACCTGCTGTGGACTGCAACACGATTCCCTGGGAATTTGGAGTATTTTGTGGTTTCAAGTCATAACACTTTGGAGGCAAACACCACCCTGATGAGCTGCATTGGCTCAAAGCACGGCTCCAGAGTTTTTCGTTTTCTGTACGAAACGTGCAGTCGTTTATTACAATCCATTCCTGTTGCAAGATTACAAGCTGTAACCTATATGCTAAATTCCAAGTTACCATCCCAGGCATTCCTCATTTGTTGGATCAATAAATTCATATTCTTATAACTAATGCCTGGAATCGGGAAAAATACTTCTTGAGTAAACAGCTGCTGTTACAGCAAACGTGTTGCGCTCAATGGTCCAAAATTCCTTTTGTTGAGGAGTTGGTTGCATTCGTTCCATAAATACCGTTATTCCAGCCGCTTATCGTTTTTTTTTAATTCATGTTTGTTATAAGCAATGTAGGGGTGTTGTGCATTTCAGAACCAGACAGTGTGTTGATTGTACTCGATAGGAAATGTTATTCTTTGCTTAACAATCCGCCCCAAGCTGAAGTGCACCCCCAATCGGCGAAAGAAAGACATGTGGTTACAAGTGGGTTTTTGCACCCGTTCTGCCTGTACGCAAAGACCATACATGCCGGAATAAATCAGTTACGCGTACTCAGCGTCAAACACGCATATCCTTGCGCGCCTATGTGGTGAGTATCAAAAAAAGAGACACCCTCTTTTGCTCCAGTCGGAGCAGATAACAAAACAAAAACCTCAAACTTTAATATTCCCTAACCCATTTGGTTGTGAAAACAGTGTCTCAATACTTTGTGGTTCACACCCTGATACTTTGATACATGAAACAGGTGTTAGTACTTTCCTAGCTATTGGTTTAGTTGTTTTCACACTCTTCATTAGTGGCTGTTGCATGTGTACTAAATTTGTCCAGGTTTGTGTGCATGTATGCAGCGATGATGCAAGTTATGGGAATAACCACGATGACACTTAACCGTGCCATAACTGTAACGTAACCGCTAGATACTACTTTGACTTTCTTCATGTGCAATGTACTCTGCAATTCCTGGCCTTTTTTGGGGGGGGTTTTGTTGAAACTGTCGAAGTTTAATTAAACAAGAAAATTATGACCATGTCTCCCAGTAACATTTAGAGAAGTTACACATCTAGGTTCGCTTTTGAAATAGGTTTTGCTGTAAAAAAAATCAATCAATCAAAAAAATAAATAGGCGGAGAAATTGTCAGAACCAAAACTGTACTAAATTACATGTATATTGACCAATTGACTCTTTATTGTTAATCCAAAATTTACATTCGTAAATGTAATTAGTCCTAATCGAAATAAGGACAAATCAAGTCTCCATTATCCAGCTTAGATTGATTATAAAGGTTCGTTGGTAGGAAGTGTGTTACTGACGATTACTCTTGCCGTATGGTGTACAAAGAAAGAGGAGTCAGGTGACCAGGCGTAATAAAACATATCCCTAGCTGTTTAAATACCTGAAACTTCATGTCTTGGCTGAATTCATTTTTTTCCCCAAATTTATTTCTTGGGAAGTGAGGTATGGTTGCATTTCTTGGGAATATACATCTATGTTGGCTGAGTTACAAGGAACCCTAAATTTTCAATTATCGATGTAAAACTTAAAGACCACAAATAATTCTCCATTATGGAAAGGGTAGAAAATGTTCCCCGAGATTTTTTTGCGATCAAAATTTGCCCAATTTTTAGCATTCACAGTTTTTCTCCATCGAAATGCTCAATTTCTTTTCAATCCCACCCCCCCGATTAAGAAACTCACCCCTTCTCAAAAATCCTTATAAAGTGCACACGTGTTCCCCCTCCCCCCATTTTACAACTTTCTCCGCCCCTTGTGTTGAACACCAGACCTACGATGCGCGCGTACGAAAGACAGGTGTAAAATCTCGAGCCATCTCGCGACGTGCTACGTGGAACTCCCGCGAGTTTTATGCAAAATGGATGAATGGCCCTGTACCGGTATACGTGAGATTCCGGTAGATAGTGTTGCCGATTTCTCCACTTTTT